TTCCCTGCCCGCGGCCCGGGCCGCCTTGTCAGCACCCGGCACCACTGTCTCGCTCTCTGCAGTGGGGCAGGACACCTGCCGCCCACCTCCGGATCCGTCTGCTTCGGAGTAAAAAGGAACAGCAACCGAGAGCGTTTTCAAGGGTAGCACGTAAAATGTTGCAGATGGGGAGCTGGTCGGTTAGTAACTAGCTTTTACTGATGCAGTAACTTTTTCTAAAAACTATTTTCTCCAGGTAGATACAACGTGGTAGAAAGCTTAGGGTCTAACTTCGTTAAATTCAAGTTATTGTTAGTGTTTTCTAGCTATTGTGATCTTTAATAAATAAATAAATTCAAGAAGCTATAGTCTCTATTTTTAGATGACAGCATACTGTATGGTTCACGCGATAATCTTCAGTTTTAATAGTTTTTGAGCAGGGCAGCGTAGTTATTAACGACCAGGGTGGTGAGACTGAGTGCACCCTCAGCCAGTCCATGGGTGACTCTGAACTGGGGGAGCCGCTGACAGACCGGAGGACAGGGCTGCCATTCAGAGGGGAATGGGCTGGCAGAAGCCTCCTGGAGCTCAGTGAAGGCAGACACAGAGTCCCACCCGCGGGATGAAATAATCTCGTGCACGATGGCAGGCCGGGGGCTGGCTGGTTAGAAAGCAGCTTTGCAAAACAGGACCGGGGAGTCCTAGCGAACAACAGGTTGTACGTGAATCAGCATTGTGCCCTTGTGGCAGTGAAAACTAACAGTGTACTGGGTGTACGCGTGAGCGGGTCAAATGAAGTGATCGCTTCCCCTCGGGTCAGCACTTGTGAGGCTGCTAGTGGGCACTGGCTTTGTCTGGGGTAGGAAAAATACTGACCAGCTGAAGCAAGCCCAGTGGAGGGCCCCTGAGTCGGCCTGTGGTGTACCAGCACAGCCTTAGATAACTGGATTTGTGCAATCTGTCTTCTCTCTGAAGAGAGACAGATAGGTCTGTCCTCTTCCTGAAGAAGAGACAATGTGGAAGGGGGTCTGATGACTGTGTTCATCTGCAAAAAGGGTGGCTATTGAGGGTGGAATCAGGTTCTCCTTGAAGTAAAAGGATGAGGGGTAATGGAAGAAGTTCCAGCAAGGGAAATTCTGATGAGATAGAAGTAAAAAATCCTTCACAGTGAAGTGGTCAAACAGCAGAACAGGGCCTGGAAAGGTTGTGGAATCTCTGTCTTTGGAGATACTCAGAACTTGACTGGACAAGGCCTTGAGCAATCTGAGCTGGCTTTGAAGCTAGCCATGCTTTGAGCTGGCTTTGAACTGGCTGTGAAGTGATGTGGGCCTATGATTTCAACAGCCTTCAATTTAGAAATCATTTTGAGATATCTTGGGATGACTGACTGCTTAAGTGTGCTTAAATATGCCTTTTATCAGTCATTACAGAAGCCCATTTAGGTACAAGATAAAATTCTGCCTAGGAAATTAAGAGATTAAAGTTAAAAAACCAAGCAAACCATGAACTCGGTATTCTTTCACTCTGATTCTGTTAAAATGCATTTGCTTTGATTCCTTTTTCAAATCTTAGGAAGAAAAGAAGATTCTCTTCTATCACCCGAACGAAGTAGAAAAGAATGAAAAAATTAGAAATGTGGGACTATGTGAAGCTATAGTACAATTCACAAGGTATGGGGTCCAACTGTGAGGCTCGCTGTGTTAGCACAAGCACTATATTTTAAATTTCCCAATCATTTGTTTTCTTTTTGTGAGTGTGTATAAATATCTCTGTCTACATACATGTTTTCTTTCCAGGACATTTAGTCCAACAAAACCTGCAAAATCCCTACATACACAGAAGAATAGACAATTCTTCCATGAACCTGAAGAAAACTTCTGGATGGTCATGGTACTTATGCATGTGATATGCATATTTTTAAAACATCATCTCGCAATGTTCTCAATGCATTCTGCATTGTCTAATACCAGCCTGTTCCACTTTCTAGGTTGTACGGAATCCCATAATAGAAAAACACAAAGATGGAAAGCCAGTCTATGAATATCAGGAAGAAGAATTACTGGTAATACTGAACTTTTTTTTTTTTTTTTTTTGAAATGCATTATATTGTATTTTAAGAGTACCTCCAGAAATGTCTTAGTTTGATGCTTCTTGAACTGCTACCAAACTGATTTTATATATATTTCTCCATAAGTGGAAAAAGGGCAAAGTACTTTATTGAAAAGTTTAAAGCAGAGAGCAAGATAGCGAATTACCCAGACAGCAGTTCAAGATCACCCAGTAAACATCAATGAAACATACAGCTGTGAGACTTTTAGCTTGGCATAGGCGAATATTTCTTAGGATCTGTTTGTTTAATAAAGTTCTTGCAAGATTTTAGATCTGTATTTTTTATTAGGTTTAAGTATACATGTTACTACTTTCTTAAGACTGCTAGTAATCTCTTACTAATAATCTGGAAAAACAAACAGCTTGTAACTGTTAGGGGATTTCTTGTCCAAACTGCAGTATCATTAGGTCAGTTTAATTGTATACAGGAAGGATATTTGGCTGGGTGGGATAATATTTTAAAAGCCAGTTGCGTATGCTGCCGCTGTTCATTGCAGTGTGCGCTAGTTCTTTTCCTCGTTGTGTTCTAAGAAAAAGATTGGTGTCATAGATACTCCATTTGCCAAACAATAGTCTTTTTTTCGTCTGGGTTAAGATCCTAGCCCAATAAAAGCCTGCTGTGGTGTCCCACCTTCTTTGGCCTTTGACCTGGATGAAGAGAAAACTAGTCGGAAATAAGTTCACCTTCACTGGCCTTAGGGAAGGGCGCTCTTTGCAACTGGGGTCTTGTGCATGAGTCAATAAGGTGCTTTTGGTATTCAATGTAAGGGGGCGGAAGGGACTCCCTTTATTGAAATAGTATTTTACAAAGAAATTTCTAGATTGAAAATGCTATTTAACTCTTCAGAGATTGATTTCTCTAATTTCTGTGTTTGCTGGCTCTTTGAAAACATGTTATGTATAGCTCAGCCAAAATAACTGAAATTCTGCCCCTGCTGATACTAATGTGCTGCTCTCTTTTCTGCAGGACAAGGTCTATAGTTCTGTCCTACAGCAGTGCTACAGCATGTACAAGGTAGAGTTAATACTAGAGGCTCCTCTTCTGGGCAGAGGAAGAGATCCTTGTGGTACCATTTGGATGTGCAAGCTCATCATTGCTCTGACATTCTTGTCCCATTACTATGGTCTGCTCTCTTCCTGAAGCTGTAATGATGTTGATGGAAGAGAAAAATAAAGCTTTTGCAGTTACCTGTGCTAGTTCATTAGCTTATTGTAAATATGAGGCCCTTCTAATTTCTGTGACATCCAGATTCTTTCCTTCATGGGCAGTTACAGTACTGTTTGATTTTGATGGTGTTAGATATTATCTGTTGGAGAAACAGTACTGGATAAAGGCCATTGATCTGGTTTTTACAAAATAAGAGCATAAGATACTTAAGCCACACAGATAAATAATTTCTCTACTGTTAAAGAATTTAGTTTCCTTTTCTAGCTAATTCAGCGTCTGCTGCCATATATACCTGGACTCTGCAAATCTGAGAGGTTTTTTCAATGAAGGAGGAGTACATTTGGATCTATGTGGAGTCCAAATACTAAGGAACAGGAGCTGTATTGTAATCTAGCTATATTCATGGCCAAGGTGTAAAAAAATCACTGTAAATGATTACCCACCTAATTTTTTTTTTTAACTATTAGCTTTTCAATGGCACATTCCTGAAAGCCATGGAAGATGGAGGTGTAAAAGTTCTAAAGGAGAGACTAGAGAAATTCTTCCATCGGGTAAGACCTTATTTTTCAGGCACATACAGTGTGATTCTGCATTGGAAATAAAATGCAAAAAATCTTCTCTGATGGCTGCAGTGTGACTATAAAACATAGGCAGTGGAAAAGGTGTAGTGGCAGTGCAAAAAGTCTGGTTACTCTTTTTTTTCAAATGCTTCCTGCTTCCTACTAACATGGTAGGCTCTTTAAATGGAGTTGAGCCACAAGCAGGGTTATGGCTTGATGGAACAGCTTAGCTGTTGGATATTTTTATCTTTAAAACATTTTTTTTTTTTCTTTGCAGTTGCTACTGAAGATGAAACAGTAATCGCTGTAGATTTGTATAGCAGAAAGAAATTATCTTTTTCACTGGGGAATTAGAAATGCTTAGGAAGCTTGGTCATGCAAGTTGTTCTATTATAACCCTATTGAACGAATTGGCTATGTGTTGCTGGCAGGCGTGGCTTGCACTGAAACTCTGAAAGGAAATGAGACCTAGATTATAAACTGTGACAGAGATCTGTCATGCTATTTGTCTGTATTTTACTTCTTGGTTTTTTTGGTAATGTGAAATGACTGTAGAGGGAGCCATTGGATAACTCATCTTTCACAGAGCAGAGCATGGGAAATATCTTGCTAGAGGTTACAGTCTATCAAGAAAGAGAATAATAGAAATTATCTTTTCCTTTGCATGTTGAAAACTAATGGATTTATCTGCTAATATTTCTACGGAGTTAGTTCTGAAATTACATATTAGTAATATAGGCTGTGCTTTCTTATCATCTCAAAAGATCTTGATCTAGCCTTAAAAGCTGTTGTCACTATGATTAAATAATAGCAAGCTGACATCTGGAATCATATTCACAGAGAATCACAGACTGGTTTGGGTTGGAAGGGACCTTTAAAGGCCATCTAGTTCAACACCCTGCCATGGGCAGGGACATCTTCAACCAGGTCAGGTTGCTCAGAGCCCTGTCCAGCCTGACCTTCAATGTCTCCAGGGATGGCACATCTACCACCTCTCGGGGCAACCTGTGCCAATGTTCCACCACTGTCACCATAAAAAATTCTTCCTTATTTCTAGTCTGAATATACCTTCTTTTAGTTACCCCTTGTCCTATTGCTACAGGCCCTAATAAAAAGGTCCACCCCCACATGAAGGAGTATGTCATACAAGCAGAACTGGAAGGGGTTTGTTTGGATCGTTAGTGTAGATTACTGGGGATTAGACTCAAATTTGTCATTTAAATCTACACATGGGAAGTTTTCTGAATTCTAAAACCTGTCATTTTTCTGTCATTATTCTCTTAGTACTTGCAGACACTGCATTTACAGTCTTGCGATCTGCTGGATGTGTTTTGTGGGATCAGCTTCTTTCCACTGGATAAAATGACTTACTTGAAAATTCAGTCATTTATTAATAGGATGGAAGAAAGCCTGAACATAGTCAAGTATACTGCATTTCTCTACAATGATCAGCTTATCTGGTAGGTACTTCAATAGTTCTTTTGTGGGTCTTCAATTTCGGATCCTATAAATAAGTGCCACAATAGCAAAGGTTCTGAATCGGAGAGAGAGTTGCATGAAAATGAGAAAACTGAATGGTAGGATGAGTGGTGTGTCAGAAAGGCATTGGTCTTTGGCTTTAAAATCTCTAACCTGTACTAAATGATTACTTCCAAGTTGGCCTGAGGAGCAGCTAGAGAAGTGTCCTCATTTCCATCGCACAGAGCCTCTGTGTGTATACACGAGTTCCTCTGTAGGACCTTATAGTAGAGAAGGTTAATTACAGGATTGTTCTTTACATCATTCTGAACCAGAAAGGTGCAATGCTTGTGAAGAGTTCTACTGAAACATGGACTTAAGAATAGCAAACTTGATCTTTGTTTAAATACTGTTTCTATTTCTCTTCTGGTTTAATTTAGATGTGTTTTGTATTTAGCAAATAAACTAACATTTTATTAAAAATGAATGTTCTGGGATTGAATCTACTGAGACAAATGTTGCTACCCTAGTTTGGTATGTGCTTTGCCTGAGTTTTGTTTAGAGGAAAATGTACAATCTGAACTGCAGCACAAAGACCACTTGCATTTCCTTTTCTCCTTGATGTTCTAGGAGTGGACTGGAACAAGATGACATGAGAATTTTGTACAAATATCTCACGACATCTCTCTTTCCACGGCACATGGAGCCTGAGGTATGGTAGTTGGGTTTTTTGGGGGTGAGGGTTGTTGGGTTTTGGTTCTGTGTTTGGTGGTTGGGGTTTTTTTGTGTATGAGTTGGGGTTTTTTTGTTTGCTTGTTTGTTTGCGTTTTGGGTTTTTTTCTCTTTCTGTTTATC